GTGAAGGAAACAATGTAAACTCGATAGTTAAAATTTAACCTCACAGGCTTAAATTCAACCTTGATGGTGTGGGGTCCCTGGAGACTCTGGAAGACTGACTTGAGGTTGGGAAAGAAGTCTCTAGCATCTGGTAGGAGTTAGGTTACTGTCACTCGTTTATCATGGACCCCATCTCCAGTGACAGAGAACACCATAGGTTTGGTGTCTCAGGGCCCTAAGAACTACATAAATCTTTTGGCACCCACAGATAAGTGAGTGCTGTTTCTATTGCTTTTCCACTACTTACCGACAGCTTGAGAAGAACAAAAGCTAATGTAAATAACATGCCTAATATCCAGCACAGTAGGTATTTTGTATCTAATGTCATTTGTGGGTCCTTCAGCTACTCATCTGAAACAGAACACTAGTTCATTGCTCACACCTTATCAACTCCTATGATCTGAGAAATGGTGGGACCCTTTTAATTTATGACCCATGCATTATGTTCTCATGTTCTTTCATGACAATGAAAGGGCTCACTTTAAAGTATAATTATCCCTAGCACTATTACCCTCCCCATATTTTTTTAAATTAACCTAAACCCTTGTTCTGAGCTATACTTGGAAATTCAATAAAATTTGGCTGATTTCCCATTATTTTCCATTCACTGTATTTCTGTAGCAAAGTCAAAAACTGTTTCGAGACGATGTGTAGCCTGTCAGACACCGAAGAGTTTTAACTTCATTTGGATCCTAGCAAAGATACAAATGAAAATGCTGGGGAGGGTATCCAAGAATTTTTGATCTTTTGTAGCAATTTGCATCTCTGTTTTTGAGTTGTCTCCACATACAAATGTAGGAAAGGCACGAGAGTGTAAAGATACAGCATTCCACTGAAAGTCGGGGAACCTGGGTTCTAATCTTCAATCTGCCATTTCCACCTTATTGTGCTGTAGTTTCCTCCTTAAAAAAAAAAAGGAACACGAGGCAGCTAGTGGATAGAGCACCAGCCCAGGAGTCAGGAGGACCTGAGTTCAAATCTGGCCTCAGATACATGACACTTGCCAGCTGTGTGACCCTGGGCAAGTCACTTAACCTCGATTGCCTCACCAAAAAGGAAAAAAAAAAAGTAACAATCTGAGCCCATCTTTCAGTGCTAATATCTGTTAGTCTCAGCTACCAGTCATTTGCCTCTCACTGATGTGGCAAGGATAGAAGGAAAAGGCCTTTTCTCTCTCAAAACTTCTTAAATGTCCCTGCCAAATTCAAAAGCTGAGTGCCTTGAGTCAGGCCTTCGGAGAGCAGCCATTACTGACATCTCAAAACAAAAACACTATGTTGGGTGCTGAGGATATAAAGACAGATAAATATAAGATAATGGGGAGGGGGAGAAGCACTAAAAGTTGGGATAGAATATGTAGGCAGGGAAGACATTATGGTGGCACCTTAATCAAGCCCTGATGGAAGATGAGAATTTTGAAAGATGAGATGAGGAAGAAGAGCATTCTGGGGAAAATAATTTGTACATATAGGCAGGAGATAGAATGTTGGGCTAGGAAGAGGAGGAGGGGGTAGCACAGCTGTTTAATTGGCTTAGATGTAGAACATATAAAAAGTAATACAAAGTGAAATTGGAGACATATTTTGGATACAGATTGAGGCAAGTCTTAAATACTAGGTTAGGGTAAAATTAAGTAAGAATAGATGGAAGTATCCTTAGAAATCATGTGATCCAACTCCCTCATGATATGGATAAAGAAATTGATTCCCTAAGAGGAAAAGTATTTTTCACCTAACTAGTAAGCACCAGAACTAAGACTTTTATCTTCTGACTATCCAGTGATCTTAGTCCAGAGGCAGCTAGGTAGTGTAGTAGATAGAGAACTGAGCTTGAAGTCAGGAAAACCTAAGTTCAAATCCATGCTCACATACTACCTGTGGTAACAACCCAAGTCAAGGTATGCAACTGCTGTCTGCCTCAGTTGCCTCAACTATAAAATAAGAATAATAACGCTACTACGTGATACAGTTGTTGTAAGAATAGAATGAGATTTTTTAAAAAAGAATAGAATGAGACATTTGTAAAGTGTTTAACAGAGTGCCTGGCACATGTTAGGCATTTAACAAATGCTTGTTTCCTTTTCCTTCTCCTAAATCCATTAGAATATTCAAATAAATTTCACAAAAGACTATATGGTCCAAATGTTATGGGATAGTTTCCTCATTAATAGACTATACAACCAGGGAAATTTAGCCAGAATCTAGGTTATAACTATATTCTTTTGTCAGCCTATCTGGCACTCGCACATGCTATAGTTTTGCTTTTGCTTTTCAATTTTTATTCAGACTCCCTTCTCTCCTCTTCTTCAGCTACCCAAAAGTGACCCACCTTTCAAGGTCCATTTGAAGTTTCATCTCCTTGACTACAATGGATGCTGATCTCTGGCTTCTTTAGCTTTCTATACTTTTTCTTTAGTACCCAAGTTCACACTTGATCAGATAATGTCTTATATCTTCAAGTTAGTCTTATCTTCCCACCTAATTTGCTGACAAGGTCAGGGATGGTGGTTACTGCTTCTGTCCTATCCATTCCAGTACCTAAAACAATGGTGAGCGCATCCAGGACACACAGTAGTTAAATTTTAATACTTCAGTGTCAAGTAGCAATAACCCTTCAATAAATTAATTGGCTGAATAAATAACAGAATTTCTCAAGCTGTTTGATGATAAACAGTGCTGTTTAATATTAATTAATATTAATAATTAATTAATATTGATAATATATTTATTATTAATAAAATTGATACTTAATATTAATAATGTCATATTGAGTATTCCCATTTCCTCATCATAGAATAATAGGCTACTTGAGGTGAAATGAATCTTTGAGATTATCTAATCCTAAGCCACCCTATGAATTAGGAAAATGAGGTTTGAACATACAGTAACTTGTCCAGTTAGTTAATGTTGTTGTTCAGTCTCTGTGATCCCATTTGGGGTTTTCTTGGCCAAGATACTGAAGCAGTTTGCCATTTCCTTCTCTATCTCATTTTACAGATGAGGAAACTAAGACAAACAGGGTAAAGTGACTTGCCCAGGGCCATACAGCTAGTAAGTGTCTAAGGCTAGATTTGAACTCAGTGACAGTTTCAGATTTAGATGAGGTACTTCCCAACATTCTTTCTTCAATCTATATAAAGATTCCTCCTTTTTCAAGAAACAAAAACTCTCCATCTAGGAATCCTTCCGTAATTTAACCTCAATTCTTGCCTGAGCCTAAACAATTTGCTTTATTTCTTCTTTGCTTATAATATGCTATAACATATGATTTTTTCACTCGCTTTGTAGTAATTTTCACATTGCTTCCTGGAGATGTGTCTTGTGTTTCCTACTAGACTCAAGTTCCTCCAGGAAAAGGACTGGGCCTCCATTTCATCCATATCCTTTCAATAGTGCCTTAGACTATCCTTATTTCTTCCAAATAAAGGCTCTCTATGGACCCAAGCAACAGCTCTTTTTACATGTTCTTATCCAAAGTAAACATCATTGCAAATAATAGGAACAGTTTAGAATTCTCAAATAGGTTGCATATAGTTTCAGGAACTCAGAGTATTTAGGATCAATTTGATAGCATAGCTATTTCCTTTTCCTTTAGTCCATTTTTAAAGAATCAGGTTTCTTTCTGTCTGATCATTATAACTTCTCTTTCTTGACATGATCTTCCTTGAATCTATCATCAGTTAATCTAGAACAGGCAAGAAATGTCTCTGAAAAAAATTATTTGTGACAGGTTATGTGGGATAAGAGGGTGGTTGTGAAGTGGAAGAAAGGGCATTATTCCCTTTGAGGGATACTAGCTTTTCTGTACGCCCTTGCTCCTGGCTGCAATCAATGAATAAGCGTTTATTAAGAACCTACTATGTGCTGGACATTGTGCTTTGTGTCAGTCCAACCCCTCAGTTACCACAATTCATCTTCCTTCAAGATTCTATTAAATCCATTAAGGATGTTCCAGCCCAGTGGCACACTTATCTACCATTTATATCTAGCTTTATCCTCCTGTAAATACATTTCTTTTCCATTTAGAGTAATAAAACTATCTCACACATGTATAATGATTTATCATTTTATGAAGCACTTTCCCCACAACTCCATAAGTTAGGTAGCATAAATATTGTTATCTCCATTTTATAGATGAGGAAACTGAGAACCAGAAAGTTTGGGTGAATTATTCCCTGTCCTAGTGATCAGAAGATCATAAATCTAGAGTTGGAAGTGACCTCAGATATCATCTGCTCTAAGCCCTTAGTTTTATAGACCAGGAAACTGAGGCCTTTTGAGGTTAAGTGATTTATCCAAGGTCACACATGGTCAGTAGACACACCATGATTCCAACAGACATCCTCTTATTCTAAAACCTATGCTCTTTCCCCTGTTGCTTTTCATAAGGTAGGTCTGTCGGATGCAGGACTTGGATCCAAGCATTCTGAATGAAGTATTGTCCTTTCTCCTAGAGCTAGGAGTGGGGAACTTGCAGCTTCGAGGCCACATGTGGCCTCCTAGGTGCTTGGGTGCAATCTTTTGACTAAGTCCAAGTTTTACAGAACAAATCCTATTATTAAGGGGATTTGTTCTATGAAGTTTGGATTAAGTCAGAGGGCCGCACTTGAGGACCAAGAGGGCCCAACCCCTGTGACCATATCATCTCTTATTTGCTATTAGAAATACCCTATCAAATACTATATAATGATATACTCCATTGAAAGTTAGTTATAAACTTGAGAAATACACATTGGAGGGTTTTTTGCACATCCCAACTGTCAATGTACTGTCATGCTTAGACAATTTCCTTTTTACCATGGAGCCATGTTTGGTTGTTTTTTGTTTGTGTGGGTTTTTTTTTTGGGGGGGGGTCTTGCATGATGGGATAGGGAGATGTAAAGTATTTTCTTTCTTATCTCTGTGTTGTTCAGAGACTTGTTATCTAGTCTGAAAAATATCTATTTTTTTTTATCTATTCAGATGTCTCTCTGGCCTTTGTGCTGCTGCTCAGTGCCACCTCTTACCAGAAGAGGAAACTCCAATCAACTCAGACTTCCCACTTAAATGTCTCTGACAAGAGCCTTGATGAAAGAGGAAACTGAATAGATTATTTATGTGATAAATTCAGTGAAGAAGGAGATTTTTCCCCCTCAATCATGCTGTTTTTGAATGTTATCATTGTGGACAATCAGGAGTGGTCTACCTATCTAAATTGGGGAATAAAAAGTCTCTACCTCTTTAAGAGACCTTGAGGGAAGTCCTTCAAAGACAGATGAAACCAGGCTAGACCACAGAATTAAAATTAGAATAATTGTTAAATAAGTTACTGATCTTGATGGGAGGCTCAGCTGATTAAGAGTCCAGGAAGAAAGTGAAATAATAATAATCTGAAGATCTATAAACACATATATACATATATATACATACATACATACATACATACATATATATATATATATAGAGAGAGAGAGAGAGAGAGAGAGAGAGAGAGAGAGAGTGTGTGTGTGCGTGTGTATATATACGGGGGGGTGAGGAAGGGAGAGAGAGGAAAACAGAGGAGGGAGAGAGAAGAGGAGAGGGAAAAGGTAGAGGTAAAGAGAGAGGGAGTGTAAAAAAGAGAGAGGGGAAGAGAAAGGAGGAAAGAGAGGGAGAGAGGGGAGGGGGAGAGAAAGAAAGGGAGAGGAAAAGAGAGAGGGAGGGAAGGAAAAAGGGAGGAGAAGGGGATAGAAAGAAATCACTTCTTTTGTGAGGAAAACAATTTAAATATTCTTATTATCTCCACTTTCTTATTATAAAATTGAGGCTCAGGGAGATAATTAGCCAATGATTGCAACAGGTTGTTTAAGAACTGGAATTTGAATCCAGGCACCCTTCACATTGTTTAAGGCATTGGGTCTTTCTTCTGAACTTTTGTGCCAGAGTGCTTTCTAAACCTAGTTTATTTAGTGAGAATGCAGGGTGCCTTCGCAAAATTCTCCCATCTCCACTCCTCATATAGAGATCAGTGTGGAGACAATACTGATAGGAGTATTCAATTAAAAGAGTTTAGAGACCACTGATATAGATGCTAGAAGGTGGAAATAAGCATAATTAAATTTATTTTATATATCTATTCTTTACTCTCATGCCCAAAAAATTGATGATAGGTAAATAAATTAAAATCAGTGGTTAGGACTTCCTACATCCCCTTTCAAAAATAAATAAATAAAAGACCAATTGCTAAGGTATGTCATCAGTTATACGTCCAACATAGTTTCAGCTGAATTTCCCATACCTTCTATATCTATATCTATATCTTCATCTACAATCCTATAATGGAAAAGATGATGCCTAGAGATAATCCAAGGGAGGAAGGGCCCTCAGAGGCTATCAAATGCAAATCCTTTCTGAAACATGAATTTCAGGGGTGGGGAAGCTGCGGAGGCCACCCCTGAATTAGAGTATCTCAGACAAGTTGTCACTCAGCTTCTATTTAAAGAACTCCAGTGAAAGATATCCCTCCTTTTATAGTTTTTCATGAGGGACAGAAGCTGCCTTCTTCCTAGCCCGGGGTTAACGCCTCCAATAACATCATGCCATTAACAAAGATCAGTTTAAAATTAGGTAGTGAAGATTCCATAACCAAATGAGTTAAACTTTCATTCCTAAATGTTGAGTCATTTCTCTGTGATTCATATATTACTAAGATATGTCTGGTTTGTTGGAATTTCAGTTAAAAAAATTGAGTATGCTACCTTCCAGTTTTTGGAAAAGGTTTTGTTAGCGAAAAGAATCTATGTTCGAAAGTGACTCCTAAGAGAATTTCAAAGATTTGAAAAATGAAGAATAGAACTCTTGGACTCTGTACCAATATTCTCTTTACCTAAAACACATTATGATTCAAAGAACAGATTAATTAACGCTCTTGGAACTAGATAACATTCAGCTCATAGAGGCCAGTAGGTCCCAGGATGAGTGACTTCTGGTCAAAATAAGAGACAAGATGCTAATTAGTGTTGCTTATAATTTATAGCAAAGTGTTAATTCCATGTAAATGAGTTAACTTAGACACTCTGTGATTTGGTACCTTGCAACTAACTACAAATAGTAAGATTTAAAAAAAAAAACACAAAGGAACCTTTCATTTTCTCACTTAGTTAATTTGGTGAATCCATGATCTTATCAGTATTTGCACTCCCCCCATTAACCTACACTGCATCTCCTTAATACTTCCTTGTCCAAATTTTCCTATACATCTGTTGGAGAGGACTTACTTTCTATATGCTAGAACACAGTGCCTGGCATAGAGCAGTACTTAAATTTTCATTGACTGACTTCTTCTGTCCATTTAAATATCTAAGGATACCAATATCCCTCCTAAGCTGTCTATCAATATTCCTTCTCCCTCTCCATGCCTTGGTCCCCTTCTAAATGTATATCCATGCAGTCTCTTTTTCTCCTTTGTATACAACTGCCTAGTCTTAACACTAGAGAATAAAATTTGATATAATAATTCCCTTTGATCAAGAGAAAGAGCTCCTCACCTTTTTCTTCTCATACATACAAAGATGCCAGTTAAAGTAAGTTAAGTCTGTTTCCTCTTTCTGGTGGTTCCTCCTATTAGTTCTAATTCTTACTTACAACATCACTAATGTGACAATATGTTTAATAGGAATATGCACATGTAGAGCCTATATTAGATGGTGGCCATCTTGAGGAGGGAGGGGAAGAAAAATTTAAAACTCAAAAGCTTATGGAAGTGATTGTTGATAAATTAAAATAAATTAAAAAAAAAATTAAAAAAATAAAGTAAATAAGTTGACGAATCAATAAACTAATAAATAAATAAATAAATAAACAAACAAATGAATAGATAAATAAATAAATAAATAGAGCAAGTTAAGTCATTCTAAAATCTGCTAATAAGATGGATGGTATTGTAGGGAAATGTAGTAAAAATTGACCAGACATTGCTAATCCTAATAAAATAAGCCTGGGAATAACAGACTTTCTGGTTCACTTTGTCATAGTAGTTATTCCTGACATAGTTCAGAGTTTCCTTTTCTGCTTCGGTATTTCATTTGCCTTGCACTCCAAATCTCTGAGAGCCTTCTAATACACTCCACCACCACCTCCCTTTTAAACTAGTTGCTTAGTTTTGGTCTTTCTCCCTTTGAAGTCATAATACTCTAAACTTTTCTATATCTTGGGGATATCTGTTGGAATTTCAGGTAATGTGTATGAGTCTCCATACTATACTCTAGTAATCTCCAATGCAATGGCAGTGGCACCTTGAGGGCCATGGTTTGATCCTACAGATGTGTGAGCAACGAATTGGACAATGAAAACAGGGTCACATTATGCCATCCTACCCACTTATAGCCAATTGTGGACTCATCTCCAATACATTTGTTCATTCCTTCACTTATCTCCTATCACTAGCCTGCCATAAATCTCCCTTGAATATAGATCCCTCAGAGAGCATATAACCCTAAGCTGACTAAAGTAGATGAGCAGACACTTCACCCTACATCCATTCTCATCTTCTTTCCTCCAATCACCATAGCAGCATATTCTGGGCTCTGGAGTAGTGAGCAATGAGTAAACCTCCTTCCTTTATTTTTCAGTAGAACAGAGTGAGTAACACAGGATAAGCAGGAATGAATGAATTGTAATTGCATTTCCTTTTTCCCTAAAATCTACCCTCTTTCAAATTTCCCTAATTCTGTTGAGAGCACTAACAACTTTCCAAACACCCAGATTTGTAATCTAATTCTTCACTCCTCATTCTCCTTCACCCATTTACACAATCAGTCACCAAGCCCTGGCATTTCTTCCCCACAAAGATGCCTTACATCCATCACCTTCTCAGTACTCATACAACCACCACCCTAATTAAGGCCCTCATCACTTCTCTCCTGAGCTATTGCAACAGCCTCTTAATGTCTATGCTTTATGTGTCTCCCCTCTCCAATTTGCCCTGTACACAGGTACCAATGATTTCCTTAAAGCACAGGTCTGACAATGTCATTCTCTTACTAGGTAAAATAAAATGGTTCTTTACCAACTCTAGGATCAGAAATTATTTTATTTTACCCTCATTCTTTTAAATTTCTATTTTGTATATCTTATTCCATACATAATTACTAGTATAGTGACATACATATAATTTATAAACAAATAAATATATTGTGGTGTGTTCATTTTTTAATTCAAAGGGTGCACAATAAAAAAAAAGTTTGGAAACTATTGCTATAAACAAATGGAACTGGAGTGCTGAGACCAATAGATGTCTAAAATAGCTTCATTGCAGGGAGCAATGCACCTACGTGGCCACCAAACCAATGTAGTTTCACCTTTAAAATAGCAAATTGTCTTCCTGAAAGCAAAATGTCAAAAATTCAATACCAATTTAGAAAGCCAAGAGAATATGCAAACAATCAAGTGAAAACTCCACTGCCAGTGACTGCTCAAAGACTGAAAATAACTAAACATTTGGCTGCAATTCTGAAACAAGGAATGTCTTTCATTAATCTGCCTTTGGATGGGAGGAACAATATGTGACCAGCTGCAGCTAAATTTGTTTAGCTAGGTCTCAGTTTCCTCATCTGTGAATCAAAGGTGTGGAATAAAATGTTCTCTAAGTAGCTCCTTCATGAAAAAAGGTGGAAATATAACTATTAATGCCTCAGATGTGTTATTAAATATTAACAAATATCATTATGTCTATGTCCTACTTGGAAATCATTTGGACTCACTTGAATGAAAAATCTCATCAGTTTCCCTGGACTTATTGCCCAGGATACAGTGTCCTGGTCTAAGGTCCTTTAGTTTCACTTGCATCAAGTCCTAATAAATCTTGAATATTAGACTTGAAGACATGGAAAGGAGCTTGAATATCGTGAACCTAAAAGACTTAATTTTTTGTTTTGTTTTGGTTTTTGTCGAACCAAAGTAGGAGTGGAAATGCCTTTCTCTCTTTATTCACCTAGAACTAAATCGAAATATGATATCTTAAAGGAAGTGGTAAAAATGGGAATGGTCCTTTGTTAACCAAAGGAAGTGTCTCCATTTAGTCCATTTATCATGGACTAAATAAAGAGACATGGACCTTTGGTTAACCTGGAGAGAACCCTTTAGTTTTTCAAGAAGGTATCTGTATACCTCTCCAAGTGTGAATTCCATGATAATAATATCTGTATTGTTCTGTTAAGCAATTTTTAAAAAATGAACTTTGTATCCTTGCTTTATCTCTCTATGTAAATTTGCCTTTATTTCCTGATCACTGCAAAAGTATAAGGCCACATGGCTTGGGTTACAGAGAATTCCAACAAGCAGGAATACTTGGATAATTAATAAACAATCTCTCACAAATGTGTGCTAAAGGCTTAGCATATAGAGTTTTTCTTCCACATAACATTCTTTTCTTTTCGGTTTCTAGGTAATCAAAGG